TGCTCGCCGAGCGCCTCGGACTGCGCCTGCAGCTCCTTGACCTCGCCGCGCAGCCGGTCAATCTCGGCCTGAGTCTCGGCCGGGATGGGCGGCACCAGCGCGTTCTCGCGCTCGTACCGCTCCTTGGCCTTTGCGATCCGCCGGTCCTGCTCGTCCACCAGCAGCTCGAGCAGCAGCATCAGCTCGCGCTCGTACCCGTACTTGTCCTTCTCCTCCTGCGGCAGCGCCTCCCACTGCACGCGCAGCGCCTCGGAGCGCTCCTTGAGGAAGCCGTCGCGCTGCAGCTGCGGCATCGTCTCGAACTTGGTCCCCTTGAGCAGCTCGTACGGCGAGCAACCGCACAGGTGGAACCGGTCGATGCTCGGGTCGGAGAAGGAGGGAAGCGCCTTCTCTCGCTCCTCGAGCGGCACGTCGCGGGCCTTGCCCATCAGCTCGTCCATCTGCTCGCGCATGAGCTCGTGCGGAGTTTTGCCCATCGCTGCGCGCTCACACGAAGGGTGCGCAGCAGGCGCGCCACGCCGCAGGTTTCCGGAGAGAGAAAGCGGAGTTCAACCAGACCGTCTTGAGTATAACCGGGCATAAGCCGCCCGTGGCATTTCTTTCCACCCAAGAAGCCCGTTTGGGGCGGCGACCGAATATTCATTCTAGCCGCAATGCCTATTAAAAATAATCGGGCAACTCCGCCTCTACGTCAGGGTCCAGCGGCTCATCGCAACGCGCGCTGTCGACATCGCTGGCTGCATCGTCATCGGAGCTCTCGTAGTCAAGGTCTTGCTCTCTCACAGTGAGCCCTAAGCTCACCATGAAGTCCGCGAGCCGGCCCGTTTGTGCCGTTTGCCCCTCGAGCGGGAGCACCCACAAGTGGGGGAGTGTGGGGTCACTGTACTTGATCGAGGTGTAGTGAAGTGCAGGGAAGCGTCGGAGTAGCTGCGTAAGGCAGTTGCCCTGCTCTAGCCTGGCCTCGCTTTCAACGATCGCGATGGATGGCGGCAGCGGCCCGTCCGGGCCCTCGAAATCTTCGCTGCTACCGAGCACGATGGCCCGATCGCTGACCGCGGCGCGTGGACAGGGCGCCGATGGAGCAAGCGACGATGGCGCCGCGGGCTGATGGTGTGCGCAGTGCAGCTCGCCGTCGCGCAGCGGCTGCGCGTGCACGTTCTCGGAGGAGCTCGTCACGGTGCAGCGCGCGCCGGACTGCGTCAGCCCCACGCAGCGCACGCGGTGGTGGTGGCAGTAGGGGCTGCCGCGACGGAGCGGGGCGGCATCGGCATAGCAGCAACCGCTCCACACTCGGCATCGGCCCTTGCCGTGCTTGCGCTGCCCTGCGCACTGCACCCCGGTGAACTTGTCGGGGTGATGGTGGCCGCAGTACCGCTCGCCGCGGCGCAGCGGTGCCGCGACTGCGTACGGGCTATTGCGATGCACCCGGCATCGCTCTGTCCCGCCGCTCTGGCGCGTCATCCCCTCGCATTGCCCCTCCGTTGACCACACGCGCGGCACCACCGCGTCGGTCAGCGCAGGCTGGCCCGGCGGCGGCGGCGGCGGCAGCAGCGCTGGCAGCGCGGCGCCATCTGCGTCCAAGCCACACTCGGGCAGCGGTGCGCTGACGGCCGCGAACGCCCGGACACCCACGGCTGCGACGGCTGCAACAGCGCCGAGAGGCTACCACTCTCGCGCCGGCGGCGCTGCTTAGAGCGACACACTGTGGCCAGCTGCCGCGACTGCCAGAGCGTCTGCACGGGCTTTTTTTTTTTTTCT